AACCAATGTTGAGAGCTCAGCAGACGGTTTAAGTTTCACTTTCACTTTCACCCAAGAGCCTGCAGGAATTATGGGCGGGGTGTGTGGGGAGTGGGGGGCTATGCCATGAGGAAGTTTGGCTTAAAGACACATCCCTGGGGCGTTTCTGGTCCCCACCTGTCGTTTTGCTCCTCAGCATGGCTTCCTAAAAACGCTGCAGGATTTCTCAAACATGCATGAATGAGTCAAAGCAAGGCTTTGGGCATGTTTTTTTTTTTTAATGAGAGTATAACATTACAACATGACATAAGCTAAAAAAAGTTGATTTTACATGATATTGCCCCTTTAAATGATCATATCAAAGTATGTTTCAGGTTAATGCATACAAGCACAGTTCTGCATTTTGATAGTAATTTTAAAAAAACAACACTGAGCCTTTCTAAAGAGCTTTGCTAAGCACAGTTGAATCATTTATTTTTGTTTGCGGGAGTTAATCTGTTTAAATGTTTATTTGCCTTACTGTTTGAAAGACAATGAAAGTGCACTGAACTGAAGGGTTTAAGTATCTTGCTAATTAAAAGCTTTGCATCATTTGGCACCTGAATGCAATAAACATTTTTTCTCTGTCTGTGTAATGTTTAATATTGCTTTGAACATTAGCTCACCTGAAGAGCCATAAAAGGGTTTTTAAAGTGCAATTTAGGTAATAAAAATGTAAGTTCTGGTCAGTAAAGTTTAGTTTAGAGACAGAACAATAGCTCAAAGCAAGGACAGTCCCCAATATCTTTTTTTTTTCAAAGTGGACAAATCGATTAGTAAAACCATCATAGCTTTGTTGAATTTGTCTGGTAAGACTGATGAGACTGTGTGCTTTGGCAGCCCGGCTCCAGAGCTGTCATCCTGCCTGTGCTCTCCCATGTGTATAAATGAAAACTGTCTTTGAAACCGCATGAGGGTGGCTGTGGAGTTTGCATTTACAGTTCAGTCAAAGCCTCCTGCCAGTGAGGCCAGCTAGCTGCAACATGAGCAGATAGCAGATCCTGCAGGGGCTACCGGAGTCCCCATTACTCGTTCCCCTGGCAACAAACGCTCTGTCATATTAAAACGTTGAATATAGTGTGAAAACTCCATGCAAATGCATGGATGAATGTTTCCATGAAACTAGCCCACATTTTGAAGGTGAACTATGTCACATCTATAGGCTTAACAGAAACTAAACAAAATGTGTCAAAGCAAATGTTACATTATTGTAGTTTTTGTTGGTAGAATATGAGAAAGTTTGATGACTAAGACACCTGCAGGATGATGAGAATTATTTTCCTTAGTTGCAATTTGTCCTTGTGCTGCTTTTGATATGACTGTTTATCTCAAAAATCAAACCTGTTAAGTTTATTTTATCATCTGCTATCTTCACACAGTTGTAACATTTCTGACAAATGATCAGTAACAAGATGCACCTTAGTTTGCACCTGCTTGTTGCAAAAAGTCTTTTAATGACATAAATGTCTCCTCTTTTTGCAGATTTTTCGCAGAGCAGACAAGAACGGTGAGTGAAAATGTTCAATGATTATTAAGTTGCTACGATATTATTATTTCCTCCTCGTTTTCAACTTGTTAAAAAGGTCTGAACCATGTGGGAAGAGGGAAAACAAGCAATTTGCATAAAAGAAACTTCCAACTTGCTTTTCTCTCATGCTGATATATTCTTTATGTACATTTTTCTTTGTCTAATTAAAATAAAACTGAGTTTCTGGATAATAGCCAAGACTTCAACAAGCTGTCAAACACACACACACACACACACACACACACACACACACACACACACACACACACACACACAC